GGCCTGTGGCCGCCTTTGGACTGTGGAAACCTATAGTGGCCCCCGAGCCTGAGGGAGGCCGCCGACGCGGCCGGGCCCGCCTCGTCCGTCTCCTCCCGCCCTTAGGCTGACTGGAGGGTGGTGGTGCCCGGGGCACCCCGTGCCTCCCCTTGCTGTCTTGTTTCCTTCGGCCTCGCCCGGAGCTGGGCGGGCTGCCGTGGGACTGTCAGGCCTCTCTGGGGGATAACGGGCCTCCCTGAGCCAGGGTCAGGCGATGCTGGGCTGAGCCAGGGTTGCGGGTCCCCATACGGCGTTAGAAGTGGCGCAGAGCAGTGAACGTGAGGCTGCTGGCCCCTTGGCTGAGCCGGTGGGGATGTTCTGCTGGTAGTGGAGCTCTAATTTGAAAGTTATTTTGTACTTCACCTTGCCTGGGATCAGTGAGCTTAGGTCTTTCTCCTTGGAAAAGCATTTAAACTGGAAATCTGAACATCAGCATTTACAGTGTGGCATGTCATCCTGAGGGAAAAACTTGGGTACGTTCCTAGCTTTGGTATATTTTCCCTGAGTATTAATGCTGACAGGGGATTTGGTAACAAGTGTCAAAAGAGCTAATTGGGTTCATTTGACCATGGCAAAATGGTGGAAGGGGTTCTGTGTCAGTCTTATCCTGGGCACGAGTCTAAGGGTTTGTCTTGCAGGAAACAGATGAAAGGTAATTAGATACGTTGCATTTGTAAACCACACAAAGAGACTGCATCAGTTAGCTAAATCAAGTTCCAAATTGCTGTTTCAGCTATTTTTCTTGTTTAGGTGTTCTGGTTCTGTCTCAATTACCCCCATGATCACAGAATTCCCATAAAAAGGAGCTTTGCATCGGGATATTTCTGAAGCCAGGGCAGCGCTCTGCACATCTGGGAAAGTCCTTTGAATGTTGTTTAGGAGTTTCTGAAATAGGGGTAAGGGGTACTTGAGTTACGGTTTTATTAGGCCTAAGTAAAAGCCGGTAAAGGTATTTGATTCTGCATGTGAGGAAGGTGCAAGTTGTCACCACAAATACAAACCTTTCACAGATGGCTTGAAAACTATTGTTGTGCTATGTAGCCTGGGTTTGCAGGAAGAATGTGCTAAAACATCAGTGAACTGGAGTTTTTTCTGCCTGTGTTTGTCCGATCCATATTTCTGTCACCAGTAGGTGGCTTTCTACCCATTGTTACTATTTCAAACCCCAGCACCTGAGCACAGCGCTCGGTTTGAAGTGGCCTCAAAGTAGAAAGTCTGAGGCATAATTACAGTGCTTTAATCTCCTGGACTACCTGAACAGAGAGGGTTCAGTTTACCAAAAGCACAGTGAATACCGAGTAGATAGTAGTGTTCATGTTATGGATTCATAAATTGTTCTCAGCAACCAAATATTCTTATCTAACAGATTGTCATGTCTGTGCACAGGGATATACTGAGCATCGTCAGCTTCCACCATGCCTTGCTCATGTGCCCCAAATGCTCACTCTAGTGGCTCCTGGTTTAAAAAAACCCAAAACAACAAGAAAAAAAAAAAAAAAAGCCTGTGCCTTAAGGAAAGGCTCAGAACCCTTAAGGCAACGGTACCTTGTAGCCACAATGTGGTAACAGAAGTTGATACACTTCTGGGTGAAGGCTGGATCTGGATTAAAGAAAGAATCAGGAGGGTGTAGGTCTGTGGTTTGATTCTCGCTTAGAAGCCTGCAGCACTGTGAACAGTGCTGTCTGCCTGTGACTTCCCGGCCCGGGCGTTACCAAGGGCTTCCAGAGTGTTCGCTGTAGCTGCTTCCGTAGCCGTACTATGAACAATAGACTGATCTTACAGGTAGCGTTGGAAATGCTCCATCTCCTTTACGTGTCCAGAGATTCTCATTTCTCTGGTGTTGGGTTGGATTCATCGTGTACGAGAAGGTTTGTGGTGAGACATGGGCGTAGAGCTGCCAACCTGAGAATCACACTGAGAATCTCTACGGGACCTTCTCCGACCTTCATATGAAGGGACTTGGGTCTAGGATGAGTATGAGCAGTGAAAATAAATAATGGTTTTGCGTAAATGTTCTACTCTTGTTGTTCTTTACTTGCCATTTACCTGATGTGTGAGGCTCCAGAGCCGCTCAAGTGCTGTATGGGTGGTATCCTGGGGCATTACAGTATTGACGGCTTGATACGTCTGTGTTCATGAGTACTTTTTGAGTTCAGTCCATGTCAGTTGTGGTAAGTTTGGGCTCCTGACATGCCACAGATAAGGAACTGTTCCTTGCTGACGCCTCTTGGGCTTTTTATCTCTCTGGGTTTTTATTCCTGCGCCCCCACACCTCGTTTTCTATCGGTTTGAGGTTACTGGAACATTTTTATAGGAAAAAATTTTAATGTGTTTGTGCTTAGTGTAATCTAGTGCACAATGTCTTCTAATTACCCCAACTTCCGAAGCAGCGTGCCGTGGCTAATCTTTTTTCTGGAAGTCGTTTTCATCGTCCTCTTTCAGTTTTTGTTCACAGGTGATGGGGTGTCCAGATCAAGCATCTCCTACCCAGGTAAGGTCAGCAACCTTGCTGTGAAAGGAAGGGTTAGCGCCTGCTTTTATTTTGCAGTGCAATAGAGATGGGACTCAGCAGGTTTGTGCATTTGTTAGCGAGAAGTAGAATGTTTTTGCTGCCCTTTAAGGACCTGCCTTGCCATGTGTGGTGTGTATTCATTTATATCAAAGCAATGACAGTGAAGGAAGATGTGAGTGATACTGAATTGCATTGTTGGTCTGTTTTCTGCTGCCTGGTTGCGGTGATCTTGACTCCTATGAACGGAACAAACTTCTGAGGGCAGGCGTTGCGCTGTGTTAAGTGCCTCCCTCTGTGAGGTCTTGGCGTGTGAAGGTGGTGTTGTGCTACAAAGGAAGAATTCAGGATGGCAGTATTTCCCATTTGAATCCGTGATGTAAATAAATGAGGTGGATACAGTGGAATTAAGGTTTTAAATATATCCTGGAGATGTGTTTTGTGCATTGATCGAAGGAATGTATTGGCAGATTATGCTACGGCCACAGTGTGTAACATATTTACAGTGTTGTGCACACACGAGCTGATTAATCCTCACTACATTCTCGTGTTACCCTCCCTGGTTTATAGCTTGAAAAATGAGGTCTGCTTACATGCAGTTTGGTATTTTGCTGTAGGTGCAGGCTGGCACAACCCTACGAGAATGTGACTGTTGGCATGTCCCGGGGGACACTTACAGACCCAAGAGCTTCTGTCTTGGACAGACTCTACCTTTTATGCAACGGTGCTTGTCTCCATGTTAAACCCTTTCCACTGCTATTTCTGTCCCTTCTGCCCAGATGAGGACATCATACAGGTTTTTCTCTGTAACTCATTTCTTCCCTGATGCCCTCAAGGAATGAATCGGCACTAATTCACAGTAACTCTCTGTGAAAAGTCCAACTTAAGCTCTTTAAATGTGCCTCAGGAAAAATGAATGCCCAAATTTCATTGCTAAACGTACTTCATTTCTGTTCTGCTTTTTGAGCCCTCAACCCCCATCCTATGGCATCCATTCTGATCACTTTGTAAAGGTATTTTCAGGGCCAAGGGTGGTGTTCTTCTGATTGCTTATGGATTGGAAAGAAAGCTCTGGAATTCTTTACAAGTCCTAAATAATAATGGCACCTGATTTTTTTATCTGAAGGCTTCTTAGTTAATTGTGAAATATTTATTTATTTACTTATTTAACCAGAAATCCGGTCTGCATTAACAACTTCACTGCTGTCTTGGTCTTTTCTGTCACGCAGCTTTTCAAGATGTCAGCCACATGGTGATTTTTGGATTTGGCTTTTTCCTGACGTTTCTGAAAAGATACGGGTTTAGCAGCACTGGATTCAACCTCCTGATCGTTGCACTTGGTGTCCAGTGCTCCGTGCTGATAGATTTGTTAGTTTTCTTTCATCAAAGGCAAGACGAAGATGATCTGAAAAGGTGATTAGTTTGTGTTCGAATTGGAACAATCTCGATCTGCTGGTTGTGCTTTGTGGGTGATAATGCCTTGTCATATGGCCATATTTGCAGACGTTTTAGAAGGCTTTGGGGTTTTAAGTACATTTTACGGTCTGTCATTCTTTCTTTATTGGCCCTGGCACAGCCCTGATACAGAATTATTTTTTTCTTTCTTTTATTGCAGAATAACAAAGGCTTCTGTGAGTATGACTGCTGTGGTCATCTCCACTGGAGCTGTTCTGGGGAAAGCTAATCCTCTGCAGCTAATTCTGATGACAGTTGTGGAGATAATAGTTTTCCACACGAGCAGATGGATCAACAAAACGTTCCTGGAGGTACTGTAGTGCGATTTCCAGGCACACGGGGAGGAAATTTCACTGGACCTTGGAATGTTGCCTTTTGGTGGTTTGTTAGTGCTCTGCTAACAGGAACATAAGTGTGTTCTCTCTCATCTCAGTTAGATTGTGTCTATGGTTTCATTAAGAGATAAAGTCTGACTTTGGAACTATACCTAAGGACATGGAACTCCGACTCCTGCATGCTCTCTATCTATATAATTGGCTGTATCTGTATTCTTGGCCTTAAAGGGTGAGCTGATCCGATGGGCTGGGATGTAGTGCATTTGGCCTTGCCCATGTCCTGACCATCCCCAACACGAGTGACAGCCTTGACCTATGCTGAGGCACTAATTGCCTTTACACTTTACCCCCTCCCTATGTCAGTTCAGTCTGGAAGATTTCCAGTAGGAATGGTGTACCAGCCCAGTCTGGACAGCAGAGTCAGACCTGCATTTAATGTGCAACGTGCACATACCCCAAACTCTCTGTATTGTGTGTTTATGAGCTGCATTGAATTCAGATAGGTCAACCTCGCATAAATAACTCATCCATAAACTGAGGGACTGTGAAAATAAATTGCTTATGGAGAATTTGCATGAGCAACTATATCAGGAACTGCATCAAAGGCTTCCCATGGCCTGAAATAAACCACATATTTGATTATTCTATTGATACAGGTTCCAGACAATATCAGCATGATGTATGTTCCCCTGTTTGGAGCCTACTTTGGTGTGGCAGCTGCCTCACGTTTCTCTGAGCCACCACCAAGGTCTGAGAAGAATGCGAGTACCCCGCAGTCGGATTTACTGTCAATGTTGGGTAAGGCATCTGCTTTAACGCCTCAGTCGGAAGAAGAGGTTGCAGTGAGAACATAAGGAAGGTTTGGGGGGGGACTGGCCACAGCACACTGAAGCTTTTGCATCCAAAATGCAGGTCTGAATGCAGCCAAGCATAGAAAACTGCTGCTGCTGTGGTTTCTGACAATGAGTTGGTGAGTCTCAGCATGTTTCCTACCAGGCACGTAAGCCACTCCTGCAGCGGCTGTGGCTTAGTTCGCTTTCATCAGTCTCAGCATAAAGGCTGTGCCAGTTTAACCATTCCTTCTCCCAGCTAGGTTGTCCCCTTTGGTCACGTATAGGCGTATTGGTAAGGGGACCTGTGCACCAAAGTTGAGGCCATTACTTGTATTTTGGTAGTGCCTACAGCTCCCAGCTGGGGCTAAGGCTCAGTTTTTTTGAGGGCAAGGTGCTGTACAGAGATATAAAAAGGCAGTCCCTGCCTAGTAACGTAAATGAAAAGATAAAAGGCTGATGAAGGGTGGGGAATATGTTACAGACAGGCACACGAGAAAGGAACTGGGTGATGGTAGGCTGAATGTATGGGAGTTCCATTGTTTTTCTTAAAGAAACAAGTTGGTTTCTTTATAATCATGACTTCTGTTATGTAAGTGCCACCAGCTGAACTGGGATCTTTCTGTAAAGCCCACAGAGT